TTACCATATCGGCCAAGGGCCAGGAATGAAAAAAATTAAGCTGAGGAAGACAAAGCTCCTATAGTGTTTTTTTTTGACATAAAAATGATTTCGCCTGCTTTTCTATTGTAAAAGTGATAAATATCTAACGCGGCTCACTGATACTCTTTGAGAACTCCAACGTGTACTACAAACCCAGCCCCTGGACGGAGTGGCTCGGGTAGTCTCTCATCAGATATTCTCCAGACGCGAAAGTGTGTACTGAACTCTGTGAGCCAAGATCTGAAAACGTCGTCGTTGCGAAGTTGCTGGGCGACAATGGCCAGGCAGGGCCGCTGCGTCTCGGAGTCGGCGAGCCTGAGCTTGCATATGTCCACGCAGGCCTGGACAAACGGCTGGACTAGAGCGTAGTTGAAGACGCAGTCGCATGCCACGACGGCGTCAAAGGAGGCGGCATCGGGTGTCCCGGTTAGAGACGCAGTGACTTGATCGGTCTCCCAGTCGAGGACCTGGAAGCGAATGTCTGCGGCGTGGTGTCCCGACTGATGAGCCGTCGTTTTACTCGTCGAGCCCTTTTTATTCGCTTTGGCTAGACGACGGGGTCCCGTAGCCGCGGGCTGGTTTTCTTCTAGATTCTGCTGGATGAACTTGTGGACGTAAGGCTGGTCCGTCAAAACGTATCGCGCAACCTTGGAGGCCAGGGCCAGGGCGTTTAGGGGCGAAATGCCACAGCCAAGCTCCAAGATGGAAGAATTCTGGTCTAATTTCCCCGTGCGGAAGAGGACGTTTTCAGAAGACGATATCCACTCTGCAAAGAGGGGGTTACTTTCCAGAGAACTAACGGCCATTAGAAAACACCTTTATGTTTGGTTTCTAGGGGATAGAAGACGGAAGATGGAAGATGAGACATGGATAGGGGATGGGGCAATGTGGTGAAAAAAGGGCACACGGTAAAAAGACCAACCTGCTCCAGTGGTACCGCCAGCACGCGTAGATGACAAAACACCCGGTGACTGATGAATCGTAAAGTCCTTGCCGGCAACAACAAGGTCAAGGGAGTTTGCCCTGGGGTCAATGAAACCCAAGTTCTGCGACGGGATGGGTTGAGAGTAGAGTAGAAACGTTTCTACCGAAAAACGACACAAAAGCCCCCTTGTTAACTCCATACATCCATTGACCTCACGGAGAGAAAGAAAAGAAAAGAGCAAACAAGAGAGAAAAAAAGAGAAAAAAGAAAGAGAAAAGAGAAAAAAGAGAGAAAAGAGAGAAAAGAGAGAAAGAGAGAGAGAGAGAGAGAGAGAGAGAGAGAGAGAGAGAGAGAGAGAGAGAGAGAGAGAGAGAGAGAGAAAGGTGACCACATGATAGAAGAAAGGGGACAAGAACTAATGAAATAAATACCTTCTTCCGGGTCTTCAATCTCCGGCTCGAGTCGAGATATCAAGTCCTGGAGGCTCTCCATCTGCGGCAAGGCTGACAACAAAAATACAAATACACACAAACAAACAAACAAACAAAACCGTAAACGAAGAACAAATCACTTGTAATGAGATAACAAAATGACAAGCCGTTTAGACCCGCACAAGTCTCGTTTGGTGATTACGAGTTAGGGTAGAGTAGAGCAGAGCAGAGCAGTCCTGGAGTGGAAAGAATATGAGAGCTGATAATATGACTCCCAAGTTTTAAGACCCGCTTTATACGACAGTGGGGGTGGGAAGTTGGCGATGCCGAGCGTTCCTTCTAGACTTGGCACAAGAGAAACACGACCAAAAAGGCAATAATTAGACCCGTAAAAGATGTCAGGCTTGTCAAGATTAAGCTTAGTTTCTCCCCAGAGAATGACGATTTTATGTTGCAGCAGCGTGTGGCATTGGATTCGCATCTTCTTCATCTTCTCCTGGCTGGAGATGAACCTTTCGTAGCTTCAGCTCAAGACGGGACACTCACCACACATGGCCGCACCAAAACAAAACTATAGGCAAATTCATTTCAAGTCTGTTCTTTTCTCTTTCTTTCTTCTTTCTTTCTTTCTTTCTTTCGTTCTCGTGCCAGACGGGAGCTCGTTATACCATACGTTATCCCAACAAAACAAACATCAAAGACCACACCAACTTGTAGAAAAAACACAAATACTGAGACATGCACGCTCTCGACGTGGAATGACAAAGCATCTTCAAAGTACCAATCGCCCAGGGATATTCCATATGCCCACTCTACACAAGCCCATCGTAGAGGGACAGCGCCGAAACAATCGTCTCGTCTCGTTTGCTTCCTTCCTTGAACTCTTCCATATCCAGACTTCCATTCTCATCCTTGTCCATCATGCGGAAGATCTTCTTGACGCGCTTCTCAGGGGTATCTTCGTCTTCTGGGAGTTTGACCATGGAGCCAACCTGACGGGTGGTTAGCGCAGTAAGAACCAGTTGAAATACAAATACTTACCATCTTGTAGATGGCCTCGACAATTTGAAGCATCTCGTCGTAACTAATCTTGCCGTCGCCGTCAATGTCGTACAGCTGGAACGCCCAGTCCAGCTTGTCCTCCATCTTGCCTCGGCTAGTAACACTCAAAGCGCAGATGAACTCCTTAAAATCAATGCTTCCAGATTTATCGCTATCGAAAACGTTGAACACATAATCGGCAAACGAACTCGGATCACCGAACGGGAAAAATTGTCGGTAGATCTTTTGGAATTCTTCCTTGGAAAGCATGCCTGAGGGGCAGTCCTTCAAGAAACCTGGCAGGGTCAGATGCGATGCGACAAAAAAAACCCCCCCAAAAAACCAAACTATTGATGGCAAGGAGGGGTTGGGTGAGACAGGCAAGGGTGTTTGGCAATGCGTGCAGAGGGGATAGAGGATGGCGCTCACCCTTGTACCATTGCTGCAGCTCCTTCTTATCGAAGTGAGTCGACTTTTGGAGCTCAGCGAGCTGCTCTTGAGAGAGTTTTGACTGTCTGCGAGCGAAAGAAAAAGGTCAGCCTCGAGATGCCTCGGTTCATATGATGAGGATTCGCCAGGTAGAATGACGTCGCTTTGGTCGCGAGCAAAGCATGGACTTCAAATCAGGTAATCAGATTTGACGCCATGCCCCCCGTGTGAACAGCTTCCATTGGCTATCATACCCCAGCAGGCATATCTGATATCGGCTGATGCGAAAAGGGAGCGGGAAAAAGCATCTCGGCTGAACTCACGATTTACCCATGTTGACAAGTGGAGGTGTAGAGAATAATTTCGAATCGGTATACTAAGCGGAAAGAAGTCGAGGAGGAGGAGGGTGGTGGTGGATGCGTGATGGGTGGCGCGGTCGCCGTGGGGGAAAATGCGTCGCGGGGGAGGAGGAGAGGATATCAAAGCTGAATCAATGTCGCGCAACTGATGATCGTGTGCCTTGCACTGCTCGGCGATTTGCGTTTGTACGGTCAAGGACTAAACAAAGTTTTCCTTGTCGCGAACCGTAATCGTAGTCCTGGATGGCGTCGTCGTTCGGGTCCAAGAGGCCTCTGGGGGGGCTGAGCACCGCAAGGTTGACCCTTATGGGAGTTCCAACTGTAGCCAAAGGGCAAACAAAAAACGATCTCGTTCGGTATCTTGGGGCGGGGAGGGGTCCCTCCGATAAAAAGCGTAGTCGGAAGCAGAATGCCCCAAAAAAAGGATATTAAAATCAATGCGATGGGTTCAGGTATCGTATGGAGCGAGTCTGTGGAAAATGAGCGGCCATGTGCTCAGTCGTTTGGAAACGAGGGCGAGGGGATGTTGGGGCCAGAGGGGGTGTGGTGGTGTGTGTGAAGATGGAAATGTTGGACGGAGGGACGAATGGATGGATAAGGACAGGATGGGACAGGATGGAATGGAGAACCTTGGAAGGCCGAAACGAGGAAAACAATGGGGGAAACCCATTTCGAGGGGAGAAGGAGCGACACGGAACGGAGAGGGGCCGCTACTCACTGTGGTTTGAGAGCCGCATCGCAATCGCACGCACGGCCCAGCGATTAATTCTACTGCCTGAAGGGCCTGTAGCGCCGCGGAGACGCTACAAGCTGGAACCCTTCAGCGCTGTTGTGCCCCCCAAAGTTGAGGTCCATACCTTACCAATTTCTACTAGGGGAGATAGGTAGCGTTTGTCAGCACCCAACAACGACAACGCCTACGGGGTACTGTCGGGCCTATACCACAGTGGAGGTTCGGGCTGTTACAGCAGCACAACCCGCACCCCTGTGGACATACATGGATGCATGGGACGGGAGATTTCCCTCAAAAAGGTCCATCTACGGGATGCGAACAACAGGATAAATCCCGATGAAGAACCAGGGGGGGAGGGTTTCAAACAAATGACAAGGGGACCGAATCGCTTCCGCACGAAACTTGAAACGTAGCTCGCATATGTATGCTCATGCACGACGATACAAGACGTCGGGTACATACTACGACCAAAATAAAAACCAACCTTTGGTGCTCAAGGTTCTTGGGGAGAACAAAATGGGCAGGCAACGCAACATTGCAGGGTTACCATGTGACACACCACCACGATCTCGTCTCAGTTTTGTGCGCCAATCTATCATCACCTGACTGTTGTAGAACGTAGCATTCTGGTCTTAGCTATTGCTTGTTTGTGTCCTCTTTTCCTTCTCGAATGTCTGAGATGTTTATGAGATCTCAGTTATTGTGAGAGAAGACTCCATCTAGTCTCATCCTCCACTATGGAGTACAGGCGTCTACCTATATGACACATCCTAACCCTTCTACCCATAGCAGGACAGTGGTTCTCTATAGCACCAGACCTCAAATGATGGACAAAAAAAGTACATAGTATGGGCACTAGGAAAAGCACAAGCCGCGCCCAACCATTCAACCACCCAGCCCCAGACATAGCTATTCACAGCTATTCACAAAGTCCTCATTCACCATTATCACAACATCTCTCCCAAAACAGGGAAATAAAAATCCAAGAAAAATATCCCCACATCCCCTCTCCAAAGGTGAGTTTCATAGACATAGCAGTTAGCAAAAAGAGTGGGGCAAAAGGGACTAGCCGGGATTTGAACCCGGGGCCTCTCACAAAGGATAGTTGTAACTAACCGGGGCTAACCGACGTAGCTGAACCCGAAGCGAAAATCATACCACTAGACCACTAGTCCAATGACGTCATTGCCTGTTTGGCGGTTCTTGTCCGGTTAAATTATATATAGGTTTGATTGAGATGGCGACAGAGGTGTTTCTGGCAAGTTTGGACAACAGCGGGCTTGCTACGTATGTTTAAGGGACTTGAGTATATATTTAGAAGCTGTTTTCTATCTTGGGATATATAAATGGGGCCAGGTACAAGTTGATATGAGTCGTGGTTGAGATTTGCCGGGTCTGAGAACAAGATGGCCAGCGAAAGCTCAGGAGTCGACAATGTTGAGTCTTGACAACTACGGTACTCAAATGTGAGAAAGACTACATGCCGCTCCGTAGATGTCGTTTCTATGGATTGCTACAAATTCCTCTTGTTACTCTTTGTCCCCCAGATTCCTCTTATTACTAGATATTCCTTTTGTTCCTATTTATTCACCCCATTCCTCTTATTACTCTCAATTTCTATCCTCTCCCTTTGTTTCATCCTCTATACTGGCCATGTTATCCCCCCACACGGCACCGTATACAAGATCCAGCATAACATCACGCATGACAAGATCAAGTCCAAGTTCAGGAAGAAGCGAGCCCGCGCAACAATTGCACATAGACCTGTAGCAGCTTCCCAATGATATAATACGCCATTATACAAGGTAGCCCTGACACCGTGAAGGAATCCTCAATCGGGTTGGGAGCAATTTTGTCCAATACAACTTCGGCGCTCAAGGTATCACAGTGTCCAAGACTATCACAGAATGACGAGAGCATCAAGGGCTAGGAGGGTGGTTCACGCATTACTTGAGCTCCATCCCAGCTGGTATTTCATGTCCTCATACTCCAAACCTTGTGTTAATGCCTATTCACAAGCGTTTGAATCTCTTCTAGAAAAATAACCTTTATTCATGCCATGTTCATATCTCCGTACCTATATCTCCCCTGACTCCTTATATCCTCTATATGTCATCTATACACGATCAATGTACTATTACCACCCATCATATGTCCATTATTCATCGTCTTCCCCGCTCACCTCGTCTTCTAGAAGATCTTGCAGCTCTTCCAACTCTCCACTGTGATATACCATGTCGTAAAACTGCCCTTTAGCTTCATACAAACTTCGAGGCGAGCCGTATCTAACAACATTGTTAGCCCAGTCAAGGCAAGAAATGAAAAAGAAAATTGAAAAAAAGGGGGAGACTCACTCAACAACTTTGCCCGCGCTCATAACAACGATGCTGTCGTAATCGATAATTGTCCGCAACCGATGTGCAATCGTCACTAGGGTTCTGTCCCCGCCTTCAGCCTCAAGATCAGTTCGAAGAACCTGCTGAATGCCCTTGTCCGTCTCATAATCCATGCTTGCCGTCGCTTCGTCCAAAAGCATGAGCTTGCTCTGACGAATGAGCGCGCGGCACAGTGACAAGACTTGGCGTTGACCGTGTGAAAAGTTCTCTCCGCGGGCGTCCACTTCTGTTGACAGGGAGATGCCTTGGGAATGACCACGCTCGTCGTCCTCCACAATCGTTTCATCGGATGAGGAGTCACCAGAGAAGGATGCAATGCCTTTACAGTTTTCGAGCGCCTTTTCGAGGGTAATTTCGGAAACTTGACCGGTAGGATCAAGATTGGACTCGACTGTTCCGTTGAACAGAACCGCTTCTTGAGGGATAATGGTGAGACTCTCACGAAGTCTACGTCGAGGAATCTTCGTAATGTCGATGCCATCATAAAGAATTTCACCAGAAACAATGTGCGTAAATCGAAGAAGTGAGAGGACAAGCTGCTTCTGTTAGAACAACCACGATGAGATGTCTTCTAAGACTTACTGTGCTCTTTCCGGATCCTGTTCTTCCAACGACGGCAACCCGCTCCCCAGCTTTAAACTTCAAGTTGATATCTGTGAGAATGTTTGGACCATCCGGATCGTATCGAATGGTGACATTTCGGAATTCAATCTCTCCGGTGCTAGGCCAGTTCTTGGGAATAACATGAGTATCGTCATCTGCATATTCACCCTCGTCGGGGTACGGCTTGTCGTCCTTTTCCTCAGGCTCGAGCTTGACGTATTCCTTGACTCTGTGAAACTACTAATTGTTAGCACGCAGTTCATCACATTGGATATGGGCAGCTTACGCTTTGCATCTCAACTTCAAGATCATTCATGGCTCGCACCAACATGAGAATAGTCTGACTTAGTCCATTGGCGTTTTGCAATGAGAAACCGACAAGGCCGGCGCCAACCAGGCCAACTTTAGAGAGAGCAATGATGCCGGCCAAGAGAGCTACGAGGGCAGTGGCAAAATCAACTCTGACAGCCACCCATCGATTGCAGTTAAAGTTTGCTTCGGCTGATGCGGACCACACACGAAGCTTGGCAGCCAGCTCTTGACCAAAGACGTCGCTCATCCCTGACCTTGCTCGAATGATGGGCAATCCGGCCAAAGTATCGGCAAACTGTGAGAATACCGGCGACTGGGCGGAAGAGGTGAGTCGCTTGATGATGACGGCAGTTCGCGTGTACATTTCGCCAACAACAATACCAAAGATGCACGTCGCAATGGCGGGTAGCATAAAGATGGGCATGATTGTGCTCACGGCAGCAATGCGGAAGAACAACATCATGACGGCGTCAAGGGTCATGCGAAGCATGGGGCTCAACATTCCATCGATGGATGCCATGTCACCAGAGAATCTGTTGGTGATGCGACCGATTGGGATCGTCTTGAACCACGAGAGGGAAACTCCCAGGATGGCACGAATAAAGTCGTTGTGGAGTTTTCGGGCGGCGCGCCATGCACCCCATTCAAAGGTGATGATGATTAAACCAAAGGACGTGAGCTCCAAGAAGGTGAATGCCGCATAGATGCCCAAATAGTAAGCAATATCAACATGAGCTTGGTTGTTATAGGCTTCCACCCAGATTGACATCCAGTAACTTGAAGCAAAGAAAAAGATGTTTGACAAGAGAAGACCAAGAAGGCAAGTAGCAACGAAAACCGGGTGTCCAAAATATCCCATGTATTGTAAAGATGTCAAACGGCCGACCCCGCCAGACGCCCTCATTTCTTGGTTCACAATGTCCTTGGCAGACACCTCATTTGTGACTTTGGTAGCCTCGTTCAACGCATCGCCATTCGACTGTAGTTCCGGTTCCGGTGGAGTGTCAGAGTCGGTGTCAGAGTCAGAGTCAATCTCGTCATCGTCATCGCCGCCAAGAATCTCGGCAATGGTAATGGGTTGACGAACAACACCAATATTGGGCTCAGCACTCTGTACCCTGCCTTTGTCGAGAAGGATGGCCAAATCAGCCTGTGAAGAGATCCAAGGAACCTGGGTAACCAAAACAACGGTTCTACCCTTGAGGAGATCGCTACAAAAGCAGTGTTTCCACACTCCAGCCGAGGTTTTCGCATCAAGGGCGGAAAAGATGTCATCGAGCAACAAGAGAGAAGATTTGGAGTATAGAGCCCTCGCCAGTGCGACTCGCGCCTTTTGTCCCCCAGACAGAGAAGTGCCATTCTCACCAACCATGGTCAAGTCGCCCTCGGGAAGCTCCCTCAGATCTACAGGGAGGCAACAGGCTTCGATAACACGGTCGTAGCGAGCCTTTTCCATGGGACTCTGGAAGAGAATATTGGCTTGAATTGTGTCGTTTTGAAGCCATGCCGATTGTGATGCAAAGGCAATGTCTTCCGGTGCTGTCACTTTGCCCCCTTCTAGATGAGTTTCTCCCAAGATTGCCAGCAGCAAAGTAGACTTGCCGCTTCCACTCTGTCCCGTGATGACATTGAGACCACCCCCGACGAAATCGAGAGAGAGATCCTCAAGACGGAAAGTAGCCCTTTTGTTTCGACGGAACGACGCATTCTCGATTCTCAGGGGTCCGACGGGGTAACGCAGAAGTGGCATGGTGCTCTCAAAATACTTGTCCAGCCGGCTGAAAGCCACAGTTGCGGCGGCAAAATTTCTCGAGAATGCGCTAGCCATCATGATGTTCCTGCGAATATTCTTTACGAGGAAAACAGCCGTGAAGGCGGTAGAGGCATCAAGGCGGTGCTTCTCAACCCCCACGTGGATGGCAAACATGACCAACAGGCCAATGTAGGGAAAAGCCTGCGTGACCTGGTTAACAAGAGTTTGCAAGACCGCGACTCGCCACAATTCCTTCTGCTCCGCCGCTCTTGTCTCGACAATCTTTTCTGTAATGGCATCCTCCCAAGCAAAATATTTGATAGCCCGGATCGAGGCTAGGTACTCGGCAACTAGGGAAATACGTCCATCTTGAGCTTTTCTGACACGCCGTTGGGCCGTATACATCATCTTTCCGAGCGATACGGATATGGGTGTCGCAAGAAGTAGGATTAGGGCGCCGACGAGTGACGCCCAACCCATCATCTTATAGAGACCAATGAGAGAGATGGCAGTTCCAGCTGGGACACCGACCAAACACATGATCATATCACGACCTCGGTAGATGGCATCAACGTCGGCCGCCATTAAGTTTGCAAGTCGACCGGCAGAAGTAGACTTTTGAGCAGGCTGGCCATCTTTTTCATTGCTACTACCCCGGGTGGCATCAAAAGGATCTTCCTCTAGTTCCATAGATTCCATCGCCTTGTGGTACAGTTCCTGCGTCATGGCTGATTTGATACGTACAATCAGTCTTGTAGAAGTAAAGACATATTGCTGGAACAAAACTGTGCGGCTCATGGGACCAAGAAACGTAAGGACGAGCCAAAGCCAAGGATGATAGACTGCCCCCTGAGGATTTGCAAGATAGTCAAGCAACTTGAACATGCCAAATGGTGCAACATTTTCCATGATAAAGCTAGAGCCTACCCAGACAGCCATCAAAAACAACTCCCTGCGCTGAAATCGTAGCGTGGTCCATAACGTCGACTTGGAAATGGAGCGTGCCTTTTGCACCTTTCGGAGGAGATACATGGGCTCGTCGTACCAGGCCAATCTAGGAATGCCCGACATGTCCAGCATGTTCTTTGTGCCCTTCCAGATTATGGGGGTAAGCCAGGAGTAGCTAAGATAGTAGTTGAACCAGCTGCATGTTTCCTCGGGAGCTGGCTCCCTCTCCACCGTATAGCCGGGGATTTCGAACTCGATGCTAGGAGGCAGCCATTCTCTCGGGGTTAACAGAGCAATGAAGACGGCTGCAGCTAGAGAGGCCACGGCACCAACAATTTCAAGGTCGTTTGTGCACTGATTGGTGCCGAGTTCGATGCACGGGAGGAACTGCCCTGTAGAAAAAACAAGGAGCATGGCCGTGAGAACATAGTTGACTTGGTGCAAGGCGATATGGCGCCATCTAATGTCATTTATAAGACGGAGCAGGCCAAGGAACAGGGCAAAGGCGACGGCGATGACATTGAGATGATGAATTCGACCTTTGAGGTAAGCAAGACTTATAAAAGCGACTGCGGAAGCACGCGCAGCCTGTGAGAGTATTTCATAATGCCATCTTATAGACGAAGCTTTGGGCTTGAAGCCAGCAGCAGTGTTGCGAACGCGAAGTAAGCGAATGAGTATCCAAGCTATGGAGGTAGCGAGAATGAGGCCCTGAAGGATACCTGATTGGGCGAATTCCGAGACATGACTGATCCATGCAACTTCAGGGCTCCCGAGGCTGAGGCTGGAAGGACTAAGATTAATATTTGGCCCCCCTGATTGAGGATCTTGATGGATCGATCGCATTGACCAGACCAGTGAAGTCACTTACCTGCCAAAGAGCGACTGGGGAACCGACAGCAGATGATCCTTGACGTAGAAGGAGAAATCATTGCTGCCGGATCTATATAAAAATATGTCCATCATGAACGATGATGATGATGATGATGGGACATGGGACAAGCAAACTCCCTCCTGGCCAGGGAGAGGAAAGAAAAGGAGAGGGAAAAAAGAGAGGGAAGTGGGCAAAGGAGGTAAAGGGTCGGTCGGGTACAAGTAGAAAAATGGATGTTTCCAGCGCTGGAGGTGTGTCTTGATGTTGGTGACCTTGCTCAGCCAGTCGGGTACCTAGTACCTAGTACCTGGTATGTAGCAGCAGCAGTAGTAATATTGATCAAGCCACTGAAGCGACCTGACCTGGCAGTGCCTGACTAAGTCGCTGGAGGGAGCTTCTGAACCCCTGTCCGGGTGGGCGGGCTTGCAGGAGGGCGGAATGCAAAAGTACCTCGACTTCCCAGCTTACACAAGGGCGAGCTCACTGTTGGCTAACTGCTAAACCCCAGTAGCCTGCAGGTGCTGTTTGACCAGCTCCACTGAGCCGGTATGATTGGGAATACGTGGATTCACTGGTTGAAGAAGAAAGATGCATGCCGATGGGATTTCGTACAAGTATGTACAAGTATTAGTATGATAATTGACAGAAAATTGATTTGACTCCTGCAAAAACGTGTCAGTTGACGTTGCCCATGCCTTATGCAATTAAACATGCATCCATTAGTCTCTCGCGATATTGAATGAGCTGTATGCAGTGTAGCCCTTGAGCCCTGGAGAGTTGCCTGCCTACACACTACACACTACACACTACTTTCCGTCCACCGCACGGGGGTTGAACTGGACTGGACTGGGTGAGCTGGACCTCAGATCGACACTGGAAGAAGCACGCTATCCGATGGACGGCTCCTGTGGCACCGGTAAAAACGGGATGATAGCCGCCATCAACTAATCAGAATCTTGTCTCTTCTCTCAGACTCTTCCTTTGGAGAGGGGAGGATGCGATATAACCCGTAAGGATGCTCCCTTTATCCACGCACTCACCCACACAGACACACACACACATACACACTCACACACATCATATGACGGATTCATAAATAAACAAACAAACAAAAAGGGCTTCAGAATCACACCTCTTGGTCATCAATTCCATCGCTTCCTACTGGATCTTCATCGCGTGCTTCAGGCAACTTCTGTCAAAATCGTGGCTGGAGATGGGGGAGCTGTGGCTGCATAATACCCGCTCTCCCCATTGGGAAGGTCAATTTAATGTAATCGAACCCGCTGCCGAAAGTAGGATAACGAAACGACAAGGTTGATATATTATGTTCAAAATATGTCGTATCCATGATTTTGAGAGGCTTGTGTTGGATAAAGGCTTGGAAGAGTAGTCTTCTGAGTAATAGTTTAAGATGGAAGACAGCACAACACAGCATGACTAGAGAACTATCAAGGCAGCACTCGGGAACATCTCCCTCGGAGTAGATTCTTCCAATGTCCAACACCCCCGAAAAGGCGGCTCCTACCCACCTCATAAAATTCAAACGAAGCAAAACACACAACTCGACTGTTGATATCTATTTTACCTGACTCATATTTGCGCAACCTACCCCGCGGTGGATCATTCAATAACTGCAATGCGACTCTAATGCGATTTCTTGCATTTGCTTGGACATGTTGTAGCCTTTTCAGTGCATCTCCAAGGCATGCCGGCACGAGTGCTTGATCGGCTTTGGGTAACACGAGAGATGGGGTAGATTAGCATGAGATTAAACGGCAACGCTCAATGGTCTACATCTCGAAATATCCATTATTCCAGCTAACCTCAGTACGAGGTACTAGGTAGACGGCAAGATTAATATACTAGCATGCAACTACTTCTGCTTTTCTTCAAGCTGTATAAACATCCATTTTCAAATGCCTCATCCTTTCCCCCAAAGATACCAAAATTTCCCATACAGAGAGCATCCAGTCTGGACTATATAAGTCAAACTTTCGCTCTAGGTTAGCATCCAATCATCATTGGTGCACAGCTCAATCTGGTGTGCTGGCGCAATGGTAGCGCGTAGTCCTCCTATTGTTTCAACCGAGCAATAAGACTAAGGCTCTGGGTTCGAGTCCCAGGTATACCGGCGTGATCTTCACTTTTTTTGCCCTCTCACATCTTTACTTTTTTCTTTCTGTTTTTCTGTTATGCATCTTTGTCCGTGCTGATATTTATAGACTCGAGAAAAAAGAGACCATAGACCAATTCATCTTCGTAGTGCCCGTTTCCTGTATCTCAATGGCCTCCCATTAATCCAACTCTCCGTCTTCATCCTTGACGCCATCCTGCAATTCAATAACACTTGGATCGTATGCCATACAAATGGCCGTAGCATAATCCCCATCATGGCTAATTGATATCATGGCACTCACATCGTCGTCCTCTTCCGTTTCGCCCTTGATCCTCGCTACCGGTGGCCCGCTCCCAAGATACTCCGTGTCCCTCCCGCGTTTCTCAATGATAACATCATGAAACGTGAGTCGCCGGTGAGAATGTGCTTTGATAGCAGCCTCTTTCGCGGCAAATCTTGTAAATGTCAATAAATGCTGTATAGGTGTTGTAAAAAGTTCTTTTCAGCTTGTTTGGCATACCTTCCAGCAACAAACGCCGCAGCAGCCCATATATCATGATTCCGATGCGCCGCCTCATTCCTCTCGGGAGCATTTTCCGCTCCTTCATCGCCAACCGACAAGTTTGGCTTGTTCACATCATCTGGAGTACCCCCTGGCTTGCCAGCATCTGCCACTTCTCTCCAAGAGCGCGCAATCTCGAGACGTTCCATGTTTGTTCTTCTGCCGTGAGGATTCGATCAACGAAACGTCTGCCCTTGGGAGCGTTGACAATTCTATAAATACGAGATATCTGGCAAATATCGGTGCCGATATTGATTGGAAAGGGAAAGGGTCTAAGCGGCTTCATCTATGTTCCATGTTCCCCATAAGAGAAATCTCAGATCTTGATAGTGGCAAGGTACAGTCAGATCCAAACTCTACGGCCACAGGTGGGGTGTGTCTCTGTTCCCCAGCCCGGACTTATCGATAACACGCGCGTCAACGACGTCATTCAACCATCAACGTTGATGAAGCCAAGACAAGCCTCTGTTTCACGGAGGAAAAGGTCCTGTAAAATTGCAATTGATGTGTCAAGTTAATGCATACATGTTTGTGTGATTTGGTATCCTAATAAGCAATCGAACGAGTCTGACGCTGAATTACGTGCCTTTGAACGACTCTGTTTAACCCACCCCGCCAATCTCTGAAATGCCTACGTCATCCATCATTAGATACCATTGGTCCATCCCCAATGGCAGAAGAAGCTTTATAACAAAGCTCAATAATTTTGCAAGGAAGATGCTCGCCGGATGAAGAAACGAAAGGGAAAGATCCGCTCCGTTTATGCAAGCCAAGATATCCTCCTGATTTAGTTGTCATCATGGAGCAATGGCGCGCGTTCCGAGTCGCCGGCAGGAGCTCGCCTCCATCGGAATTCCCTGCCACTCCAGGCGGGAACGGCAATGGTAAGCGTCATGATGAAGAGGATAGCCATGATGATAAAAGCAAAGATCCACTGCAGGGCAATGATCTTGCGCTCGAACTGAGCAACGCCAATGGCAGCAGCGAGAACGGAAAGGGAGAAACCCATAGTGTAGTCCTAAAAGAATGTTAAAACTCGAACACTAACACTGATGGTCATGACGTTGTTTTTACTCACATTATAGATGATGATGAAAAACATGCCGTAGGCAAGAAGGGACCAAATGAAAACATTGCCAAAGATTCGAGGAACCAAGTGAGCGGGATGGGGCACCATGAGGGCGCCGTTCCAGTAAATGGCAACAAATGTCCATGCAAGGGGTGCTGAGACGACCGGCGTGTGGATGAAGCGCGGATACGTGTTGTGACGGAAGTAGAGAGACGAAAGATTGAAAAAGTTGAGAATCAAGACGACCTCGGCCCAGTGGAAGTGCGAACGAACAAAGAGCATCACAAAGGCAAAGTGAAGGAGGTTGTTCACGATGAAGTGGCTACTGACGCTGGCGGCGGCGTGAACGGTCTCAGTATTGCTGGAGAAGAGATGCGTAACATAACCAATCTGCAAGATGAAGAGAACAATCCTGAATTAAGTGTTAGCTTTGGATTGGTTTTATTGTGCATGTAAAGTAATCAACCGTACCAGAAGATGTCGGCAATGACGTGGTTCATGGTAAAGGCGCTGGGGTAAGCATAGTTCTGATCCCAAATGCGTCGGCGGATGGTGTAGCCATCGTGAGGAGCATGTGTCGTGTAGTAGACAGAGACGACAAAGGCCAGGATCCAAGTAATGATGGTCAAGAACTTGTGAGTGCGCACAGCGCTGGTCGTGTGAGCCTCTCTCTTGGCGAAGGGATTCCCTAATCGTTGGGTTAGCTCAATGTCATGGGGATGAATGAAAATGAAGCTGCTGAATTGAGTGGTTCGTACAGTCCGCCATGATGTCTGTCTGCTCGAGATTAACACGAGGTTGATGGAAATATATAGTGGTTGCAATCAATCACGATGGTTAGAATGAATTGTTGATCCCAGAGATCCCAAAACTCCTGATAGACTGGAGAGGTGTACAAGTCAAGAGGAAGAAGTAAGAAAAAATAAGATGGGAGGGAGAGGAAGGGAACGGGGGAGAAGGTCTGGCATTGGTGGCTACAGAAGATATTATGTACAAACATGCTTTGGAGCTCGCCCCTTGGCTTCGGCTTCGTCATGTCAGGTCCCCAATGCGGGGAAGAGCAGCGACGACATGCCAGAGGTAGAGCTAAGCTGAAGAAAGCAAGGCATGAATTACAGCCCATGGGGAAGCAAGGGAAGCAAGCAAGGCAAATGTATGATGATTCAGTGGTAGTGGTGGTGGTGGTGTTTGTCTAGCTCCGGAGCACCATGACGTGGTATAGGTAGTAAGTAGATGGGAAAGGTCGCGATCGCTTGATGGTGGGCGCAAGGGGAAGGGAACAAGTTGTTGGTGCCACGCCCCGGACCTTGTTGAGGCGTATCGGGTACATGGAGTTTGTGCATTCCCTGCGTGTAATTGATGCAAAGACGAGCTTGGTGATGATGTCTAGTTGACTTGGGTAGGGTGTAGTTAAGGGAGGGTGTAACATTCAATGGTGGCAGGTGACCCCACAGCTCAAGTGGGGACCTCAACCTGAAGGTACGTACCGGATACTCTGTGAGGGTACCCTCTTGCTGCAGGTGCTTTAAGCTTGTCGTAACATCTCTTCCTCCTCCAACCTCTACATACATACATACATACATACAGCACAGTCAGAGAATTCCCGTCCATGAATCAAGGTGCTTGCACCCACACGGACACCTACGCCTTGTCCGAATTGGCATCGCTGATTCGATACTGCGAAAAATGACCAGCCAGCTGGACGTCAAATGTCTCACTCGCTCGCTGCCCTCAGCAGTGGGTGGTGGATGGATGCAACCGTCATGATCCAGCCCGACGAGCCGTCAACCGGAGATGCATTGGCACACACACACTCTCTCTCTCATCACTCCATCATGGACGGATGCATTACTACTGCTGTTTTCATTGCCCTCGAGTCTGAGGCGAATTTTACTCTGTCTGTACATAAAAACAGCTACAGCAAGTCCCGTCATCGGCCAAGGAATATTAGGTGCGCCCATGTAACCCTCAATATCCATGCTGCATTGTCCACCACCACCACCACCGCGTAATGGATTACGTGCAAAAAAATACTTGGACCGAGAAGCAGCGCCGTTCTCTGCTTTGCACAACGAATATACTATTTTATTCCCTTTTCGTCAAGAATTATTAACCAAACAGGTTATGCTATGCAGCCTCAATATTTTGCACCTACTGTGAATACGGACTAATACATTCGCATCAAAGGTGTATGGCCTCACACCTTGATTGGTTCTCTCACCATCTTTTAGCCAGCCGCACTTCAATCCGCACACCCTCTCACCCTCTCATCAACAAGTCGCATCCGTCCGTCTACCTTGCCACCCACCCACCCAAAGTCCGCCTGGATGGCCTCAGGCTAGGAAGGGCCTTTGTTAGCAAATGGCTTTTTCTGCATGACAAAGGGACGCGCCAGCCCTCCCGTTATAGCTCTCGCAAGGGCCGGATGGCAAGGGCTGAAGCTATGAGAACGAGAGCATGTCCAACCCTGCCAGTTACAGTGCTGTTTGCAAAGGGGTGGATTGGTAGCGTAGCTCAACTTATGTGATACACGCAGAACCAATATGCCACTCTCGGCAACTTTCGCCCTGTATAAGCCCCCATTATCGAAGCCGTTGAAACGACTCTACGATCATCATGCGTTCATCACATCTGTCGGTTAGGCTTCATAGTCGCCACTCATAATTAAAGCCTCTAGTCAAGAGTCCCGAGTGGCTTGAACGCTTCGGTATCAGCACCTCCGAGCCAATCTCTCAGTAGAGATTCGATACCATCTACACTGCTACTGCAGCCACCACCGCTACCGGTATTATCGCATTCGCGGGATTCATGCAGAACAAAAAAAACATAAATCTGCAACATTAATCAGTTGCTCCCTCATACTCCTGCATCGATTAGGTGCTATCCCTTCCTGGCAACTTGACCTGGGTATTGGCGGACTAGGATTGAACCTTTAGGACTTCCCTCTCCGGATCCGTCTACAATTCGCCAATGGCGTTTCCCCTCGCTCATTCTTCCGAAGATGCCTGTTACTCAGTACTCTCCTGTATTGATGTTTGCATGCTGCTCTCAGCCAGTCATATTTCACAATCCGCGCTGTGAAACATTGCTGCCTGCGTCGATATATGAGGAGAGCACTAGACCCGGCTGGATCGTTCCTGATTTTATGCACCTTCGGCATCATGACTAGGGACTCACGTCATTTCCACGTCCACCCACGTATGTTTGGTCTTTTGAGTTTGCCTCAGCGTTTAATAATGCAGCTCCTGGTACAAGCCACTCCGATGAAATTTGTTCCGTAGACGCTTTTAGAATGTATCCGGCAACGGGCAGCATCGGCTGAGGCTGACTTGGTCGGCATGGGAATCGTTGCATCGGTAAAACAAACATGTGGGGATTTTCCGT